GTTGAGTTTGACTATTCTGAGGTGAGTATTTGCTCAACACTTTGTTAGCCAGTATAACAGAAGACTTTTTACCATTGTAGTAATAGTCTTTGCATTTTAAACAGGCTATATGACATGCATAAGGAGATGGTGGTGTGGGCTCCTGCTTGACAGCTCAGGGTAAATATTAAATCTTTTTATACATTTAAAGTGATGTCAGTTTGCACTTTGCAATTCATTTCTTTTTTTTTTTTCTCAAGGTCTGCTTAGGATTGAAAAAAGACCCAGAAAAGTGTAAAGCTTATCTGAGCCACCTGTACTCTCAATGCAAATATAGTAAGTTAGCAATAAAAAAAATAGAAAGGTTAAATATATATATATATTACATACACATGCACACACAGGCCACATTAGGTACGCCTCAGCTCAGCCGCAGCTCTGCAATTCTGCTCCAACCCCAATCAAACACCACAGCTGACGTACTAATTAAGGTGATCAAGATTCTATTGAACACCTCGATTATTTAGATCAGCTGTGTTTGATTAGGGTTGGAGCAAAACTGTGCAGAGCTGCGGCCCTCCGAGAATTGATTTTGACATTAATGGCTTACTAGTACCGAGTTGGACCCCCTATTGCCCTCAGAACTGCCTTAATCCTTCGTGGCGTAGATTCAAGAAGGTACTGGAAATATTCCTCAGAGATTTTTGGTTTATATTGACATGATAGCGTCAGACTTGTTGGCTGCGCATTCATGCAAATTTTCTATTCCACTATGTTTGTCACTGTGTGTGTGTGTAAGCATGCTTGTTAACTATTTATATACATTTACATTTAAAAGGTCTCAAACACAGATTTTCAATATGCAACTACCATTGTAGCAATAATCACTTTTTAAATTCAATTTAGCCACTAGATGGCAGCACAAGACCATTTATTGTGGATCGCTGCAATTGTAGGCTTGCTTTTCTCTCTTTCTTAAGTCAATGACATTGCAGTGAAGATCTCTCTGAATGCATCTTGACAGGGTACAATGTCATTACATTTCAAATCAAACTGAGTCCAAGTTTACAACCTAATTAGTTTACACATTATGTTTTCCCAGTCATTACATCCCAGCATGCTTGTGTTTTAGTGTCATCCTGAATGATGAGACTTAAATAGCAGAAGAGTCATAAAGGCTCTTAAACCCTGCCAATCAGCTTGTGTTTGTAATGATAAAAAATAATAATAATTTAATAAATAAATACATAATACTTTTATATTTACAAAATATGTATTCATGCACGCATGCATCATACACTTGATCTTTTTTTTTCCTTCACACCAGTATCATAAAGTAGAATGATCCACCTCAGCGATCAGCTTATTTATTATGTTAATCTCATTGGCCATCGCATTTGACTGAAAATAAAACCTTTGACCAATGAAACACCTTTTACCACGCCCCTGCCTGAACAAACCTTTGACCACTGAAAAACCTTTTACCCTGCCTTTAGCCATGTCTATTGCTCCAGACTGCAGTTACCCAATACCTCCGAGAGCTCAGATTGTGTTCCTGCTGCACAACAGCGTCTGTACTACTGCATGTGAGTTTAACACTTCTACATTATGATTTGTAAAAATGATGAAGGGGTTTATATGTGTATAAGCGTGTTTAAATGGCTGTCTGATCCTAAATATATCTGCTGTGAAATGACTGAAAGTCAGTTTGTCCTGTCGGGTCTGTTTGAGTGCGGTGTTGTTAGTGAAGTGAGCATTGATTGCTATAAAGTGTGCTGTTCTTCATCTCAGTATATTGTCATCTCCAGGTGATGGTCAGCGGCTGATTGTTTGCTGAAAGCTCTGCTAATGTCTGCATTGGTGTTTTAGCTGCAGTATGGCAGAGGAGCGAGTAAAGGACTCTCTCTCAGAGAAACACAGGTATTGACTCTGTTTTTACACCATTATTTCAACACTTTCTCTGAAGAACAAACACCAACAACAATGCACTTATTTGTGTTGCTATTGCCTGATCAAATGATGGACAAAGCTTCAGTTTACAGCTTCAGCAAATGTGTTTAGATCATTCTAGATTACAGACAGCTCGATCTGGGGTCATGTTTATCAAAGCTCAATGTGTGTCATGTGTCGGGTTTAAAGTCCAGAACAACATCAGAGAGTTAAAGCTGACCGCAGAACAGTTTCAGCTTGTGTTTATAGAGGAGAGAAAGAAGATCAACAGAACTTTAATTAGTACAAACGTGCATGTTAAACATGGTGTATAGTTCAGTGAAGGGGATTATTAAATAGTTTTGTCTCTCAGACTCAGAGATTATATAGATTCCTACAGATACACAATACTGTTTAGTGTTTTATATCTCCTCCTCTGGTTTCTGTGGTGAGTTTTTACTCAAGAGGTTACACAACAAGGTTTTAGAGTCGAATGTGTTTTCAGTGAAGCTGAGATTGTGCAGAATGAGAAAGCAGCGCATCACTCGTCTGTTTACCCATGATTATTGAGTAACAGACCTGATCAGACAGACCTTCAGTTGACTATAAGTTTGAGCTGAATAAACAAAACAAACTCATAACACTCTTAAAGGAGCCTCTGTGAATTAAAGTTTTCTTCTGCAGTAATACAGTCTTTTCTATTAAACTTGAATGGCTTTCAGCAACAGAATTATTTCTTCTTGATTTCTTATTCTTATTTAACAAACAAATGTTGTGTGTTTCTCTTCACTGTTCACCACTGACAGGTCAAATCTGCTCTCTCTCTCTCTCTCTCTCTCTCTCTCTCTCTCTCTCTCTCTCTCAGTGATCAAAAAAATCTTTATTGAAATAAACGGTATGTTCTTCGAATTACTAACACCTCTTCACTTACAGGTCATTTATACAACAAAGTATATACAAATATTAACAAGTACAGTTGACAAACAAACCTTTTCCGCTTCGTCACCATTAACCAATGAGTGAAGATTCATTTACCTTCAGATCGATTGATCAGGTTTAAGTGAAGCTCATCAATCATCACTAAAAAGCTCGCTATTTCACTAAACAAGAATACAGACCTTCACAGCTGTGTGCTATTTTGTTCTCGACGTAAACTCATATTTTTATAGATGTATTATGATGGTTGTCACTCATTTTTCAATCATTCCATCATTTACATTCAATCCATCTGGAACCTAACCTAAACTATTTCATTCAATACTGCAAACTGAGCAATAGAGAAAAAAATAAACACAGCAGCCAAAACTTCAAACCCAGACTACTCCACGTCAGGATATATTGCCAATAGTTCATTACAGTGTTTTCACAATTGGAGAGTAATTTATTCTGCATGAAGTGCCCTTTTATTTCTAACAAGTCATTATTTTATGTGCGTTTGTGTGTAAACATGAATCAGCGAGCGAGAACATGAAGTTGTTTCATACCGCAGAACTTTCGAGAAGCATTCAGCTGAAGTGAGCTGCTGGTCTTGTCGTTAGATATATATAGGGTGATACTGTTTATGTGTATGTCTCTCTCTCTCTCTCTCTCTCTCTCTCTGCTGTAGTGTTGCTGCAGCTGAGAGATTGAGACGCACCGGTCAAAGCTTGCGCGTAATGTATTGCAAAAACGAATACAATTAATATCGAAAGCGTAAGCAGAATCTTGGACATGTCCGTGGAAAAGATGTATTGTCACCCCAAATAATGACCTGGGTCAGTCTATTTAGTAAAAGACTTTTCATTTATGCGTGTCCTCACGCTCTTCTCAAAGCTACAACCAAAATCAGAACAGCAGTTCAGTGTCCAGCGCGTCTCTCTGGGTCTGCATGCAGAGCATGTGAGTCTTTAACAGAGTGTTCTCTGAACTAGACTGCCTAGGTAAAGTCTGTGTGGGAAGCACTGATGTTGAATTGGGTTTCACGCTGGACGTGCCACGATATGCCAAGACGTTTTCTATAAGGCTCAGGCGTTGTGTGGCTTCGCCGCCATTTGGTGCCTTGCGTTGCTTAGCAACATATACAAAACAATGTAAAGACCGCTTGACGTGAAGAAAATAAAGGAGTAGAGAGGTGCTGTAGTTGAGTCACTATAGATTTCCAGCGTAATACACCATAAGCTAGTGTGAAGAGCATGTTGTTTTACCGTGGCCCAGTGAATTAAGTAAGCAATCAAGCTTATTAGAAAAGAAAATCGCACATGTGCCACTAAATACATTTTCCAGTTCGCACACGTCTATATTTAGTCGCGAATGTGAGTGAAATGGTCGCACTGTCGAGCCCTGTATTAGAAGCAAATAAGGAGTGAGGACTGCTGAGAGTGTTATGGAATTTAATAACGCACGCTAGGGCTGCACGATTAATCGAAAAAAGATCACGATTCGACCCTACACACGATCTTAATTCAGCTTTTCCACGATTCAGCCAATTATATTTTTAACGTCAGGAGAGAAGCAGATGCAGTCGCACAAGTCCTCTCAGGAACATAAACACCTTCAAATGTTGTTAAAAGTGTCACATGCTGTATTTATAAGGTATAATTCACCCAGAAACGTCATTTCTGTCTTCATTTAATGATGTATTCACGACCGCAAAATCACACGTGAGCTGACCACGAGCTACTGAGCACGCCAATGACGGCTACTTTAGTGAACAGAAGCTGCATAGGCTGTGAATAACAGGTAATAAAGTTGTAAATAACGTTCAGTTTGTTGCACAGAGCGATCGTTTGAGAGCCATTGTGAAAGAATGATTTGCATGTGTGTGTGTGTGTTTTATCACAGTGATGGCAGCCATGAGCCGCACTCGGAAGTGAAACCTGTGCACACATCATTTAAATGATCATATCGCATTTACAGTTAAGATTACCACAAGCGTTTGATATGTTATTTTCTTTAATAGCTTACACAGAGTGTTGTGCATGAAAATAAATGTTTAAAGTGTCAGTATAGCTACTCTAGCTTATTTCAAGAGTTCACACTTAGCTCATGATTTATACATAGCTTGTTTGGCATGCTGTCCCGGGAGAGAGCCCTGAGCTCAAGGGATCCTCGAGCCCAGGGCTCCCCCCCGCTTTTGCAGGGTGACTGGAGATTGAGCTCAGGTCTATCTCAAACTCCCCCGCTGCTAAGGCCAAGGGGAACTTCCTGAGAGTAAGACGTTATTAAAAAGGTTTAGGCTTATTTTATCTATAATATAGAGCACATTTGGATGGTGGGAGGGAACCGGAGAACCCGGGGGAAACCCACGCCGACTCAGGAAGAACATGCAAACTCCACACAGAAATACCAGATGGCTCAGCGAGGACCCAACACCATTGGTATTCTTGCTGTGAGGCAACAGTGCTAGTCACTGGGCCACCGTGCCGCCCATTCTGGATAAAGGAGGAAGAAGTGGAGGAGGGGGGTTTCTTCCAGACGAAGATAGTTGTAGAAAGGAAATGAGGATATATATAGTGATTTGGGATCCTTTGATTGGAGGATCATAATTAGTTAATGTGGACCAGCTGGGTCAATCATAAGTACATGCTCCTCTCGAAGTTAGTTTAAAATTAAACTTCACATAATGTTGAATATAATGCAAGAAGAAATCTGATAATGACAAATGTCTGATTTCACCAGTGAAAACAAACGGTCTGATAATGCTGTCAATGACAAACGATAAGCACATGTCTCAAGCATAATAATTCAGCTTTATAATTATGAATAGTTGTATTCTGATGGCATCATTTTACTGTGAATTAACAAACAGGACATGTTGAAAGTCTGTTCAAGTCCACCATAATGACTGTAGAAACTTTAGCATTTTAAGCAGCAGTAGAGCTACTCATAATATTATTATTGTATATATTAGAGCTAGGCCTAATATTATTAGTGTTGTTTTACCATTTCGTCACTTTACAATTATAATGTTCTGTCTGACATTTGTCAAATTTGAGTTATTGACATATTCTTATTAAATGACAACTTATTGTTTACATTTGAAGACTTTTTATTTAAAAAGCAAACGTTACACACACACACTGTTTGCTGTATGGATTGCAAAAACTTTGAAGCTCAAAATCATTCAGAACACAGAGAGAACCGTATAAATCCTGGGTGATGATATGATTGAGAATTAACAATAATAATAGCCGACTCATATTAACCTTTATTTTACATCTAAAGAATAATGAGAAAGAATCGGGATCTTGATTTTAAACAAAAATAAATTGTGATTCACATTTTAGCCAGAATCGTGCAGCCCTGTGTGTGTGTGTGTGTGTGTGTGTGTGTGTGGGGGGGGGGGTGTGTGTGTGTGTTTTTTTTAACTGACAGCCGTGTGTGTGGATCTTGTGGGAAAATGTTGGAAACTTCTACATGACAGTAATAGTCTGATGGTGGTGTTTACTTCAGTAATGCCACTAATATCTGCAGACTCCACATGTCTTATTCCCATTACTGTTCAGTTCAATTATGACTTTAGTCAGATTAAGGTAATCAGAAATGGCTGTTTGGAGGTTATTTAGGCCTACAGTTCAAAATTCATGTTAAATTGAATAAACAGTAAACACAAGCACATCTTATTGATCATCCTTTATTTTCATCACCAATTATCACAGTAGAACAGTTTCTCCAGCAGTTTGTGATGCATTTTGGAAACAGGAGATGAGCCCCTGCTCTATAATGCGCCACCTGGCTCAAAGGCTTATTAATTGGGTAGCACACATATTCTGAATGCCTTCGGCAGAATTCAAATGAGCCATTTTAATCTAGATTAATTCAGAGATTGGGGATTTCCTCTGTCCTCCATGCGAGTGTTTATCAATAAATCTACAAGCTTGATAACTCCTGGAATCCTCTGCCTTCCTGAGACTGGCCAGGCCTGACAATTTAGAGTATCTGCCAGACACAAGTGCAGTGTGACACAAGTAATGCTCCGTTAACTCCACTGAACACTGAAACTGATCTAACACACATTCAGCTGCTATAGGAAAAGGCAATACAAGTGAAGAAAAATTGTATAGCCTATGAGTAATTAATCATTCATAATTCCCCTTATGAGCGAATTTTGCTACAAAGAGACTTATTTTTTCTTCTGGTATGTTTGTGTGTTCAGTGTGAGATCAGGATCATGTGTGTCCAGCTCTGTGTCTCTAAAGAGTGACCAGTCAAAAGATCATCCACCATACTTCAGAGAGGAAACACCATCATCTGCTGAAAGGTATTCAGTGTTGTACATTATTGCTCACACATGAGCTGTTTTAAACATATTAATCCAAATACATGCGCTATAGGGGAAATGAGTAAACTAAAATGGCCATAGTGTGCGTGTGTGTGTGTGTGTGTGCGTGTGTGTGTGTGTGTGTGTGTGTGCGCGTGTGCGTGTGTGTGCATGTGTAAATGAGAGCGTATGGGTGTTTCCCAGTGCTGGGTTGCAGCTGGAAGGGCAAAACATACGGAGGAATAGTTGGCAGTTCTTTCCGCTGTGGTGAGAGGTGTAAATGTATGATTACAGTAGATTTATCTGTTAACAGTGTTGAATATGAGTCTGCAGATCCAGGAGACGAGACTCACAGGAGACACAAGAGCTTCACAGACAATCTCCAGTCCATCTTCCAGGTGGGAAAAACTCATTTTGAGTCATAAAATCAGTGAAATAACCATGAAACACAGAAATATTTGTTCACAAGACTTTTGAGAACTGGATCTTGTATCCTTATAACCACACAACTAAAAATGTCTGCAAAATAGTCTTAATCTATGGAGGGTCATGCATTAAAATATATTTTCTCTCTTGTTTTCTTGTGATCATGACTTCATTTCTCATGATTTCCACTTAATTTTCTATTTCAGCAAATAGTTGTTTTCTAATTATAGCAACTTTTTCTGTCTCTGTTTCTATATGTATTAATTACTATTATTATTATTATTATTATTATTATTATTATTATTATTATTATTATTATTATTATTATTATTATTATTTTGTCTTTCTGGAATGACTTAATGTTTCTGCTTCTATTAGAATGTTGTCCCAGACATGCATGCCGTATCTTCGTATCACATTATCTGCAGGGATTGACTTTTGAAAGTAATAGTAAATCTCTTGCAGAAAGGACACATTAAAGCATAAGCAGATCTTCATCATTCTTCATCATCTCATTCATTCATGCAGCAGCTTATTTTGAGCCATACAGAACTGTGCTGTAAAATGTTGAGGGAATATTATTGTAAACAATGAGAGATAATATTATACATGATATATATTAATGCATGTACATTAGTCATGAGTAGGGTAGAGTGATGCATTCAATATTAGTGATAATATTGGAATAATTTAGTCAACCATGTCAAATTTTTAAATATCACCCATATTGAATATTTTAATATTACGCCCCCGTTAAGCGTTACCGTGTGCACTGGAGGCATGAGCTGAGGGAGGGTCTTATTTTACACATTTCTGAAATGCAGACTGGAGACGACAAACAGCACAGTAGAAGCAGACGGGAGGAGATGATGAATTAGTCCCCAATAGAAACACACTCTGTAATTTCAGGATGGTCACAAAACACTCTTAAAATACTCGTCATGTGATGAGCCGGCTGATGAGCTCAGAGTTCTGCTTTGCACTCTTTTCATACAGATTTCTAAAATAAAGAGCTTTTGTTCTGTAAATGAGTTTGCTCCTGAAGATTCAGCTGTTTTCTCTGACATGTTTGCCAGTCATGTTGGCAGAAGACACAGAGAGAGAAACGACTCCCTGTCAGTTTCACTCATTTTACAAGAACATATAGTTTAGTTGTAATCATAAATGTACACAGATAAAAATGATAATAACCTTTACTGTTCAGATCTGTGTTTGTCCCATCAGCATGATCAAAATTAGTATTTCAGCTCTTTTTATGGAAATTGACATCATATATCAGGTGTGCATTACTCTCTGATAAATCAACAGACAGTAGTGATATATAAAGGGGGTTTCACTGGATGCGCCACTCGGCACCACACAGCACAGCACCGCCACACAGATTTCTATTAGGGTCCCTATCTATGACTCAGCACCCTTATACATATTTCTGTTGCACCATCTGAATAGTTTTATTTTAAATAACATGTGAATGTGTGCATTCAGTGTGTGATACTTCCAGCTGTCATGTGTGTGCTGTGTCGCAGCACTGAGTGGGGCATCAAGTGTGTAATGTGCTCAAAACCTGCTTGGATGTACTTTAACTGTTTATCTGAAAATAACCTTTGAATGTTCATCAGCTAATCAGAATAAAGCATTTAACAGACTCAAAGTGTAATGTATTATATTGTATTTTCATTTATTGAGTATGTTGTGGATGTACAACTGTGTGCGAATGAATGTTTTGGTTAAATGTTGTTCTTCTCTTTTCTTCACTCACAGAATCTTGAGAGTAAAATTATCAGATTTCTGAAGAATGAACTGGAGAAATTTAAGAAAATCTTACAAGAAGAAAACAGAAAAGAGTTTATAAAGGAGTTTATTGAGAACAGAAGCATTATCACAGAAGCAGCTCTTGATCTCACACTCTTCTTCCTGAGAGAGATGAAGCAAGATCAAGCTGCTGATACTCTCCAGGGTAAGAGACTCATGGATAGACCCACACGAAACCTGCAAATTTCCACAGATGTTTAGTCCATCATCGAGTCTATTTATTTACTTTTTATTTTGTATTTAAATTTATATTCATTAGGTTATTTAATTAATTTCAGTAATATTGTTGACTGACATGAAAATGTTCTTATGATTTATTTACAGTGCAGTTTGTTGAGTCATGTTTTCTGTTCTTAAGTAGATCTGTTATATATGAGACTTGTGCTTTGCTTACCAATTAAGTTTATCTAATTGGATTTGTATTGTAAACATGAAATATTATTATTTTTCAAGTTAAAAAGTTTTTTATATATATTAAGTTTTTAGTTATGATTCTACACAATTCTCCTCAGAAATAGCAAAAAATGTCTGAAAGTTCAGTCTGGCCCTACTCATCTCAATCTGTCAGACTGACACTTACAAATAAGTCAAGACTAAATCTCTCTGTTTCTTTGCTCCTGTGTTTAGATGAGCTGTTCTTCATTAATCAGCTTAAATGTAGCCTGAAGAAGAAATATCAAAGTGTGTTTGAAGGAATTGCTCAGCAAGGAGACTCCACACTTCTGAATAAGATCTACACAGATCTCTATATCACTCAGGGTGCGAGTGAACAGCTCAACACTGAACATGAGATCAGACAGATTGAAGCTGCTTCCAGACGTCATCAGTCACTAGAGATACAGGTTGAATGCAAACATTTGTTTGAAGCAGCTGAACAAGACGAGCGGATCAGAACTGTCCTGACAAAAGGAGTTGCTGGCATCGGGAAATCAGTCTCTGTGCAAAAGTTTGTTCTGGATTGGGCTGAAGGGAAAGAAAATCAAGACATCAGCTTCATATTTCCTCTTCCATTCAGAGAGATGAACTTAAAGGAGAAAGAAAGACAAAGTTTAAAAGACCTCATAACTCAGTTTTTCCCAGAGACTAAAGGACTGAACCTTACAAGAAGCACACGATTCAAAGTCCTGTTCATCCTTGATGGATTGGATGAATGTCGTCTTCCTCTGAACTTTGCTGGTAACGAGACGTGTGGTGATGTATCTTCAGCAGTCTCTCTGGATGTTCTCCTGACGAACCTCATCATGGGAAATCTGCTTCCTTCTGCTCTCATCTGGATCACCAGCAGACCAGCAGCTGCCAGTAAGATTCCTGCTGACTGTATCGACCGGCTGACAGAGATACGAGGATTCAATGATGCCCAAAAGGAGGAGTACTTCAGAAAGAGACTCACAGATCAGAATCAGGCCAGAGAAATCATTGATCACATTAAACAGTCAAAGAGTCTCTTTATTATGTGCCACATCCCAGTCTTCTGCTGGATTTCAGCCACTGTTCTCCAGAACATACTGAGACTGAAACACAGGGCTCATGCTGAAACACTGCAGGAATCTCCCAAGACTCTGACACAGATGTACACACACTTTCTCCGCTTTCAGATCCAGCAGAGCAGAAGAAAGTATGATGGAGAAAACACAGCAGATGTCTCCTGGGATCCAAACCTCATCCTTTCACTGGGGAAACTGGCCTTCCAGCAGCTGGACAGAAACAATGTGATCTTCTATGAGAGCGATCTGAAAGACTGTGGCATTGACGTCTATAAGGCATCGGTGTACTCAGGCATGTGTACCCAGATCTTTAAGGAGGAGACGGGAATCATTCTTGGTACCATGTACTGCTTTCTTCACTTGAGCATTCAGGAGTTCATTGCAGCCCTTTATCAACATCTGGACATCGACAAGAAGCGTGGATGGTTTTTAATACAGATAAGCAAAAATAAAAGCATGATTGATTTGCTGAAGACAGCAGTAGACAAGGCTCTGGAAAGTGAGAATGGGCATCTGGACCTTTATCTTCGCTTCCTTCTCGGTCTGTCACTCCAGTCCAATCGACAACTCTTACGAGGCCTGTTGACACAGCAGGATGACAGAGACCAGAGCAAAGAGGAAATAATTGCCTACATCAAGCAGAAACTTGAAGGGAATCTGTCTCCAGAGAGATCCATCAATCTGTTCTACTGTCTGAATGAACTGAACGACCAAACTCTGCTGAAAGAGATTCAGTCTCACCTCAGTAGTGGAAGTCTGTCATCTGCTCGCCTTTCACCTGCCCAGTGGTCTGCTCTGGTCTTTGTGTTGTTGACCTCAGAGGAGGAGCTGGAGGAGTTTGAGCTTCAGAAATTCCAGAGATCAGACGAGTGTCTCATCAGACTATCAGCAGTCATCAAAACCTCCAAAAGAGCTCTGTAAGTCAACGTCCTTCTTTTTTTTCATCTAAGAATTAGACATTTCCTGAATTTAAATAATACAGTATATTATGTTAATGGTCATGAGATTTAGATCATTACCGAGAGGACAAGATTTTGGATACAAGCAGCCAAAATGAGTTTGCTTCGCAGGGTTGCAGGGCGCACCCTTATAGACAGGGTCTGGAGCTCTGCCATATGGGAGGAGCTCAGAGTAGAGCCACTGCACCTCCACATCGACAATTCAATTCATCATTATTTCTATATCACTTATAATGTAGATTGCGTCAAAGCAGCTTCACATAGAAGATCATAGTAAATGTAAACAGTGTCGGTTCAGTTTTGTGTTGATGTTCAGTTTAGTTCAGTTCAGTGTGGTTTACTTTTCACTGCTGAGAGTTCAAACACTGAACAGCAGAAGTCAGCTGAGTTGGCTCGGGCATCTGTCCCACCGGGAGGAGGCCTCGGCGAAGACCCAGGACACGCTGGAGGGACTATGTCTCTCAGCTTGCCTGGGAATGCCTCAGGATCCACCCGGAGGAGCTGGTGCAAGTGTTTAGGGAGAGGGAAGTCTGGGGTTCTCTCCTAAGACTGCTGCCCCTGCGACCCGGCCATGGATAAGCGGATGAAAATAAGAAATGACATGACATCATGTTAATGAACATGAACAATATTGATATCAACTAAACTGCTAAATACATTAATAATTGTTCA